ATACCCAATGGAATATAAATCATTCTATTATAAAGACACATGCATGCATGTGTTCACTGAAGCATTATTCACAATAGCAAAGACATGGAACCAACCTAAATGCCCATCAACAATAGACTGGAGAAAGAAAATGTGGTACATAGGCTGGGCACGGTGGCTCACACTTGTAATCCTGGCACTCTGGGAGGCTGAGGTGGGCAGATCACGAGGTTAAGAGATCAAGACCATCCTGGCCAACACAGTAAAACCCCATCTCTACTAAAAATACCAAACTTAGCTGGGCATGGTGGCGTGCACCTGTAGTCCCAGCCACTCTGGAGGCTGAGACAGGAGAATCGCTTGAACCCGGGAGATGGAGGTTGCAGTAAGCCAAGATCACAACAGAGCGGGGCGACAGAGTGAGACTCTGTCTTGAAAAAAAAAAAAGGGGCCAGGTGCGGTGGCTTACGCCTGTAATCCCAGCACTTTGGGAGGCTGAGGCAGGCAGATCACAAGGTCAGGAGTTCAAGACTAGCCTGGGTAACATGGTAAAACCCTGTCCCTACTAAAATACAAAAAATTAGCTGGGGGTGGGGGTGGTGGCAGACACCTGTAATCTCAGTTACTTAGAAGGCTGAGGCAAGAGAATCACTTCAACCCTGGAGGCGGAGGTGGCAGTGAGCCGAGATTGTGCCACTGCGCTCAGGCCTGGGCGATAGAGCAATACTCCGTCTCCAAACAACAACAACAGCAACAACAACAAAACAAAAGAAAATGTGGTACATATACACCATGAAATACTATGCAGCCAAATAAAGGAAAGAGATCATGTCCTTTGCAGGGACATGGATGAAGCCGGACGCCATTATCCTCAGCAAACTAATGCAGAAACAGAAAAACAACCACTACATGTTCTCAAGTACTTACAGGTGGGAAGTGAACAGTGAGAACACATGAACACAGGGAGGGGGAGAACACACACTGGGGCCTATAGGGGTGGTGGAGGCAGGGGGAGTGAGAACATCAGGAAAAACAGCTAATGCATACCAGGCTTAATACCTAGGTGATGGGAAGATAGGTGCAGCAAACCACCATGGCACGCATTTATAACCTGCACATCCTGCACGTGTACCCCAGAACCTGAAATTAAAAAACAATTTTAAAATGAAAGATGTTGGTCTATAATTATCTTTTCTCTTGCCTGTCTTTGGTATGACAGGGCAAGACAGATGTTGGCCTCCTAATACAAGTTGTTAAATGTTCTCACTTCTGTGATTATTTTCTTTTAAACTTTATGTAGGGTGGATATTATTTTTCCACCAAGAATTCACCAATGAAGGCTTCTGAACCTGGAGAGTTCCTTTCCTTAATAGAAATAGGGCTATAAAGTTATCCATTTTTTTTATTGTTTGTTTGTTTATTTATTTATTCTGAAGGTACATCACCAATCTACTTCTTGAATAAGCTTTAGTAGTTTGTGTTTTATTTTGTGGTGGTTTTTGTGTGGGATGTTGGCACGGAACTAGCTTCCGACGCCCCAGTTGCTACAGTGATCATCTATGTATTTATTCATATCATCTTATGCTATTATTATTGTTGTCCATTCAATGGCTGGAATCAATAGATCACAGTATGATCTTTTGACAACGAACATGTGGCAGGGGGATCTTTGTGCTTGTGGCAAAGTAGGAGGCACTATAGACTTTGGGCTAAAAATAGAAGGAAGACAAGGATTTATCTGATGGCTCTGTCAGACAAATTTGCCTCTTTTAAAAATGGGAGAAAATTTTAGAAAAGAGTAACTGGCTCAGGGAAACTTGTAATTAAGAAAAAAACAAAACCTCCTTCTCAGCAAGCATTGGAAAAGCCAGGTAAATTGGCAGGACTTACCAGCATGCTGCTTTCTCTCTCTTGCTCTCTCTCTGGTTTTTATTTTTTATTTTTTTGGCTTTCATAAGAAACAAGACTTGACTTTAGTATTTATTTTAGAATTGTTGGCACATACTGAAATGTAACCATTTTTTGGATTGGGAGTTTTTGATAACAAAACAGGAAAAATAAAAAATTTCCCTCAATTCTTTATCCCTGTCCTATGTTTAAATATTGTAAATTACATTTGAGAATATTATAGTTACATTTGTTGGAATAGTACTCAGTGATTTAAATTGCCTATTTTAAAAGCAACTTACTTGACAAGCTACTTTTTCACTTAAAATGTTACTTTTATTTATACTAAACCCTATACTATTTTCCTAAGGACAATTTGTTTACAAGTACAGAATAATCTATTCAATGTGCTTTGGTTTAATTTACTTATATGTGAGGTAAGTACTTTTTCTACCATCATCAAAGGGTTGCTACAAGAATAAAATCAGGCATGTGGTATAAGATGTCAGTGAAGAGAGATTAAAACCATAAATAAACACAAACTGATAAAGGCAAACTGATATTATTATATCACTTTCCTTTACGGTGGGACATGATTACTATGGCTGTAAATTTAACGTGGTAGGATAGTAGAAAAGGCCTTTATGTGTGATCAGCTGGCCTTTCCATGTGGAATGTATATAGAAGTTGTCCTGTGGTTTGAGGAAGTAGCTGCTGTTTACAGAGCCTCCCTCATGTGGCTCTGCCACACGCCTTGGCTAAAGGTAGTCTCACCCGTGATTGCCAGCCTGCAGGTTGGTTCACTGGGTGCTGCTGCTTCTCAGAATTCCATGACTAAGCCAGGGGTGGTGTTTGTTCTTTACTGATCGGTATTTCTTCTGCCTGCTCTGCTTACCACATCGTCACACCAGGCCTTGACCTTTCTGAACTTCTCTGGAAAGTCAAACATACCTAGAGGCTGACCAGGCTTACGTCTAACAACACCATCAACTGCTCTTAGCAAGGTTATGGAAAAGAGGTTGGAGGTGATTCAAAGGAGAAGGAAACTTAATAGCTCATCCAGTTTAAATTTGTCATGACACAGATGGGAAAACAAAAATCCAGAGATGTTAGGGGACTCTGTCCAGGATCCCTCTACTGTGATGTCTTTCTGGACATCCCAAGGTGATTGCAATGGTGCTTTTCTGGCTGCCTGCAAAACCATTCTGTGTACTCCCGCATGACTTCTCACCCTTTGTTAGAATAATCTGTGGATGGTTTCTCTCTCACTAGACCTAGACCTCTTTAAGAGGAAGGCTGAGTCCCCCTAGTGGGTTCTATAAGGCCTGGAACACTTGTTAAGTACTCATGCATGTTTGTCGACTTCGTGAATCTCTCTCATGCTGTCTGCTAGGTACTGTTGTTGTGGGGTCAGCCTCATGGAGATGAAGCAGAAACTTCAAGAAAGCCAAGCTCCACTTGGTAGCAGACCAGAATCTGAGGGGTAAGCCAAAGAGTAACCTGGGAAGCACATCTAAGTAAGGGAAGATTTTAAAAAAAGTGGATACAGGGCAGAAAGAAGGTGGCAAAGTGTTTTGGTTCCCTCACTTACAGATGCATGAGAGTAGCGACATGAGACTATTAGGGAAAGAGCATTTCAAAGAGAACAACAGGTACAAAGGCCCTGAGGCAGGATTGTGGTATTTGGGAAATAAGGAAACCAGAAGGTTAGAGTATCACGGGGGAGAAGAAAAGAGATAAAGAGGCCGGAGGGTTGGCTCACTCCTGTAATCCCAGCACTTTGGGAGGTGGAGACAGGCAGATCACCTGAGGTCAGGATTTGAGACCAGCCTGATCAACATGGTGAAACCCCAACTTTCTTAAAAAAAAATACAAAAATTAGTTGGGCATGGTTGTGGGTGCCTGTAATCCCATCTACTCAGGAGGCTGAGGCAGGAGAATTGCTTGAACCTGGGAGGCAGAGGTTGCAGTGAGCTGAGATCAGCCATTGCACTCCAGTCTGGGCAACAAAGCAAGACTCTGTCTCAAAAAAAAAAAAAAAAAAAAAAAAAGAAAAGAAAGAAAGAAATTTATTCTGCACTAGTAAAATAGTATCCTGCCCAGCACCAAAGTCTTATTGATTGATTATCCTCTGACTATACAAACCAGTTCCAATAAAGAGAGCACCAGCCAGGTGCAGTGGCTCACACTTGTAATCCTAACAGTTTGGGCAGCTGAGGTGGGAGGATCACTTGAGCCTGGGAGTTTGAGACCAGCCTGAGCAATAATGGGAGACAAAAAGTACAAAAATTAGCCAGGTGTTGTGGTACACACCTGTGGTCCCAGCAACTAGGGAGGGTGAGGTGGGAAAATTGCTTGAGCCCGGGAGTTTGAGGTTGGAATGAGCCTAGATTGTGCCACTGTCTTCCAGCCTGGGTGACAGAGACAGTTTCTTAAAAAAAAAAAAAAAAGTGTCATACAATGCTGCCGAAGGCTGACTTTTATCTCTCAGGAGTACCTTAATAAAGACCTTCCACCAACCCTTAGAACAAGTCCTCTCACCTGAGGTCAACAGACCCCTGGGGATTTATAGTCAGAGTTGTGGTGCACACCTGTGGTCTCAGCAACTAGGGAGGCTGAGGTGGCATCTGCTCTGCTCCTCTCCCTCTTCCTTTGTCTACCAGTGAGTGTCCTCCGTTATGGGGATGGAGCAAGTAGTACATTGTAAAAGGGACTTGTGCTGAGAAGCACCAGAGGAAAATTAGGAGATGCTCATTAAAGTGGAAGGCAGCTCTCTTCTTTCCCTTCTCAATTCTGCATTCTACTTTCCCTTAAATGCCCCCACACCCAACCCCCGAACCCTTGAGAATGCCCAAATCCAACCAGATCAGGAAAAAATAAACTCACTGGCTCCTGTATTGAGAAGACCAAGTGTGGTGCACCTTCAGGCATGTGGGATTCAAGCACACAGGAATTTCTCCCTCTCACTCAGCCTCAGCTCTGCTTTCTTCTCTATTGTCTTTGCTCTTTGCCAGGCTCCCTCTAAGTGGTGGAAAAGTTGACCTGCATGGTCATTACCACTCATCATTTCAGAAGGGACAGCCTGCTTTTCTTGGAGCATTTCTATCAAATCCTGAAAAGACAAATAATCTTGTTTTTTCTCTTCCCGCCGCCCAAGATGCCGAAAGGAAAGAAGGCCAAGGGGAAGAAGGTGGCTCCGGCCCCTGCTGTCGTTAAGCAGGAGGCCAAGAAAGTGGTGAATCCACTATTTGAGAAAAGGCCTAAAAATTTTGGCATTGGACAAGATATCCAGCCCAAAAGAGACCTCACCCGCTTTGTGAAATGGCCCCGCTATATCAGGTTGCAGCGGCAGAGAGCCATCCTCTATAAGCGGCTGAAAGTGCCTCCTGCAATTAACCAGTTCACCCAAGCCCTGGACCGCCAAACAGCTACTCAGCTGCTCAAGCTGGCCCACAAGTACAGACCAGAGACGAAGCAAGAAAAGAAGCAGAGGCTGTTGGCCCGGGCCGAGAAAAAAGCGGCTGGCAAAGGGGACGTCCCCACTAAGAGACCACCTGTCCTCCGAGCAGGAGTGAACAGCGTCACCACCTTGATGGAAAACAAGAAAGCTCAGCTGGTGGTGATTGCACACGATGTGGATCCCATTGAGCTGGTTGTCTTCTTGCCTGCCCTCTGTCGTAAAATGGGAGTCCCTTACTGCATCATCAAGGGGAAGGCAAGACTGGGA